ACGGTACAGTACCTCGCCGTTTGGTCAATGGTAACCATCCCATCCAATGATTTGATTTGGGGAAATACGGTAGTGGCTTGATGGGTTTGTAATGCCCTGATATATATATAATATACACATGATATTGTGTGTATGATGTATTATACGTACCGCCCAAGGAATTTGGAATAAATCCCCTGTTGCGGCGGGAAAAAAGAAAAAAAAATTTCAGGTCCGCGCTACCGGTATGCTTTGGAAATGATGAACTTCTAGAAACAAGTGCGGATGCAGGAGTATAGTGCAAACATCTTGACGTCCCAACAGATCCGCGAGAAAAGAAAGGAAGAAAAGAAGGAATCCGTGACAGGAGCAGACCAACCCCTTTTTTTCTCCTTCCCTTCCCTTCCTTTCCTCCCTTCCTTCCTTCCTTCAGACTGTGTCCAAGACATATCCCTACCATGCCGTAGAGTTATTCCCTGCACTGGTACTACCTGTACCACCATAAGCGTTTCAACACAACCACCCAAAACCATGCACGAATAAACAAATAGACAAGAGAAAGAAAAGGAAAAGAAAAAAAAGCACTTGCATCATCATCATCATCCATCATCGCCATCGCCATAATCGCGCATTGCATCATTCCATTTCCTCAGAAACCAGACGAAACGAGAGGAAGAAAAAAAAAAAAAAAAAAAAAAAGAAAGAGGGAGGGTGGGCGTAGATGGACGGATAGATAGATAAGCGGAGGTAAAAAAAAAAGTTAAGCCATGATGTTACAGCCTCACGCCGACGACGCAATTCGCATCAGCCTTAACCGCACGGTTTATTGCCGTATCTCACCGTCCCGTAGCGCGGGTCACAGCGAAGGCAGAATAGTGCTCGTAGAGTAACAGTTGTCAGCGGAGGAAGGCTCCCATTCTTCTTTATTTCATTTCTCCGTATGGGATGATATCACATACAGGTACCACAGCTTAATTAAGCGCGGTTCCAGAGCGGGCCGTAAGCATTAGCGACGACGATAAGTTGCCGTACCGCAGTTGGTCGCAAAAGTGTTGTTACAGCACCAGTAGAATAAGTCTTGAGAGCTAAAAATATGGCACGCGCTTAGGGTAGAGAGAGAGAGAGAGAGTTGTGTTGCTGTTGGTATGATATACCCTACCGTACTGTATAGCGCACGGTACGATTTCTGGACGACATCCCTTTCACAGTTATCCATCCAACGGAGCGTGGGAGCATGTCGTGCCGCCCGTGTCACCCGCTGTTCGGGACGGACGGACGGACGGACTGACGACCGAGAGACAGACCAGGGCACCACCACAACCATGTTGGCTGTGAGCATTCTTCGGTGGTGACGAGCGTACGATACCAGTACGGCGCAGTACAGCCCAAGTGCCGCGAGTCGGATCACACTGGCTAATATTAGCTGCGGTTCGGTACGGACTGATTGCGTCTCCGTGGATTTGTGAGCCTCCGGATCATGGAAATTCGTCGAGAGAGAGGGAGATTCGCTTACAAAGCAGCGATACCGATAATAGAGTATTCTACTCGTACTCGTACGATAGTCTACAGTATTCCCCGGCTCGGCACGGGGCGGGGGATAGGGAACTAACGCACGAAATCAAGGAAGGAAAAGAAATATCGCCGCACCAAAATGCCCTGTCCCTCAGGAAATACTGAACTGTAGCCATACCAAAGCGATAGTCTAACAAGCCAACTACCGACGAGGGATGAAAAAAAAAATGAAAAATGAAAAAAAAAAAGCACGGAGGGTTACGACTCGGAGTAACTTAACCTGGATGAAAAGGGAGACAGACAGACATTGGCAGCACAAGCACGAGCTATGACAGCAAAAGCACAAGCACGAACGGCAGATAGTCAAAGCCTACGGGCACTCTCCTGTCCGAGTGCAGTGCTCGAGTATTGGATCGTAGGAATCCCACATGTGGTGAGATCGCCCTCGCCAGGAATGAAGGGAAACCAAACGAAACAAAGTCGGGAGGTGATGGGTGGTTGGAGAAACGTGAAAAGAAAAGAAAAAATTTGAAAATTTGGCAGGTGAAAGAAAAATGGTGGTGGGGACTCATGGGTGGTATCACAACTTTCACTTGCTTTTTTCTTGGGAGGGGGGAGGGGGGGGGAATTGGGAGCGCGCGCGCGAGTTCGGTCATGTTCGCAACTAGAAGAGAAGAGAATAGAAGAGAGAGAAAAAAATGAAAAAAAGAGGAAGAAAAAAAAATTCACTTCCGTATCATATGAGAAAGAGATTTGGGAACAAAACCTGGAGTATCATAATGCTAGCGCCGGACCTTTGCGAACAATTAGACGGAGAGAGAGAGAGAGAGAGAGAGAGATAGGACGGGACATGAGGCAAATCATATCATACTGACTCTGTACCGTACCGTATCTGAAATGGCAGAAGGTCCTGTGTCACGTAATTATCATAACTGGTGCTCCCGTCTGCGGGCCCATGTACGAGTACAGGTACTCGAGTACTAGTACTTGTATGATAATCCTAGCAGTCCGTGGCGGCCAGAAAAGAAAAGAGAAAAGAAAAAAAACAATCACCTGTCGTGACCCTACACTTCCCCCCCTCCAAAATTCCGCAGCAAAAGAGTCCAGGAACCCACAATGTTATGATATGTACCATTACCGTACGCTCGAGTGTGTGATCAATAACTCGGTGCCGCACACAAATACTGTACCATAAACAAAAAAAAACCCCCCCTTACCATGACCCAAAACAACACACCACCACCAATCGAGAGAGAGAGAGAAAAATTTAAAAAAATACCGCAACCGCAACCCCCCGAATAAACACCCCCCCCTCCCACCTCCCCCAAACGGACAGATTCGATACCATATTCGAATACCGTACCCTACGCACGCCTACGGGCCAGCCAGATAAGCAAGGTACCGTACAGCACAGTTGCAGTACAGTGCAGTACGCACATTCGTAGAGAGTGGGAGGAACGGCGGTGGGTACGGTATGAGGGATTCGCTGCTGAGGGAGAGCAAGGAAGGGGGGGGGTGGTCCCACGGTCACCCCTTCCTTCTCCCTCAACACTTTACAGTAGGTACCCTACATTTCATGTCCATAGGCGTGGTACGGGTACAGTGCAGTGCTCGCACTGCGCGTGGGAACCATGCGTGAGTGAGGGTGGAGGAGGAGGAGGAGGAGGAGGAAAGAGGGGGAAGCAGGATTGTACCAGTACCGTACTGTAAAGTACTCGTATCATAAAGTTATCCCTCCCCTTTCTCATGCTTTCCGGTCTCGCAACTGGACATGCTCCAAGCACGTGTGCCTATACACCAAAAAGTACAAGTACTGTACGGTACTCTACTCGCATCATAGATTTAAGGGTGTGAAATGCGGCACAACGCGGATCCGCCTATGACGTCCTCCGCAAAGGCCCTTCACTCCCCCCCAGTGGGGCGCAAATCGAAGGCCTTTCCCACGCACTCGAGGGCACCATAGTCTATCATTGGTCTACGCACGATGGGTGTGGGGCTGTGAAGCTGAAGGATCGACCCCACTGGCCGGTGGATGGGTGGCCAGCGGCGGGGTAATCCCTCCGCCATGAGGGAGAAAAGTGACCAGGTGGAGGGAAAGGGAAAAGCCATGCTATCATACTCGTATTCACATTAAACGATTAAACTGGGCTGAAAATAACGTTGCATACCCTACACATACAATAATAGGTGGGGGGGAGTGGTGGTAAGAGTACTCGTACATTCTTGTCCATCCTGACCTGACCAAGGAAATAAACGGGATAAGGATAAAAAAAAAGAGATCGTTCCCCGGGAAGAGTGGAGAGCGGGGAAGAGGAAGAGGGGCGAGTGGTGAGGTGAGGGGAGGGGGTTTCTTTTTCTCAACAAAAACAGACGCGTACGAGATGGCATAAATAAATTTGCGTAGATAAGATAGATAACAAAGGAAATATAGGGAATAAAAGAAAAAAATATTACATTAAACGTTGGAGGCACAAGGAAATCCTTCCATAACTCTCTCTCTCTCTCTCTCTCGTCTCGACGACGACGACGACAATAGTAATAGCGGGGCTAGCCAGCCAGCCTGTGACAGTGATCTTGTTTTGCCATGTTGCAAAAACTCGCGCTCATTTCCTACCACTGCACCTCCTTCCGATCCTTCCATCCCCCTTCGGCCCGCCTTCCAGACAGTTGTAACAGTGTGTTTGCATTGCATCGTGCAATTCCGAGTGTTTCCTACCACTGCACTCCTCCCCCATCCATCTCTCTTTCCTTCCATCCATCCTCCCCGCTACCCCTCCTTCAACCGACCGATCAAAAACCAGCCGTAAGAGGAAAAAAGAAAAAAGAAACAAAAAAAAAAGAAACAAAAAGGGTATCTCAGAAGTATCAAAAATCAAAAACAATTCCACCCAGACCTGTAATTTTTTTCCCAATCCATTCCCATATGCATGCTAGAGATTTTTTTTTAAGTGAACCCCAATATGCAGATGAATCCGAAGAAAGAAAAAAAAAATCCCAAAATATTTATAGAAAGCGAAGAAAGAACTTTTTCCCATGAATCCTGTTAAAAAGATGAAAATGAAAACAGAAAGCCAAGATCCCGACAGAATTGAGAAAAACAAAAACCCTGTATAACATGAATGGATCCGTGGGACAAGACATGAGAAACTAATGGTACAGCCCGATCGCTTTTCCAAGTGAAAAAAAGAAAAAGAAAAAAAAGCCATACCCCCTACCGAAACCGAAGGAGAATGAACAGGATTAAACCGATAACAATAGAAGCCAGGGTATACAAAAGACAAGGGTAGAAGGGCAAAAATTAGTAAAAAGAAATGAGGAGAGTAAAAACGACAAGAATGATAACGGGTATAAAAAGAAGAAACACCCAAATCTAAAAAGGAATTCAAAAACACCCCTCCCCTCCCGCCAAAAAAAGACTTTTCGCATTCCATCGGAATTCTCCTCAACGAGAATCAAGGGAACGCCCGCCAAAAGCCCTTCTTCAGATCGTTCCGTACTGCCCGCCCACCTTAAGCATCTGGACGACGGAGGATCTCCTCGCAGTTGACCTCAAAACGTTGGCACCACGTCGCCATGCCTCTCATCAATCTCTCGGTGCGCTCCCACTCCTTGACGCCGTTGAACATGGCATCGACAAACTCGGCTCCGGACTTCTTGCCCATCTGGACCGTCTTGCCTTCCTCGAGACGTGGCGAGGCGACTCCGCGAGCCCCCCTCCACATGTACTCCTCGCAAGCCTTGAGGAGATCCTTCAACTTTGACCAAAGCTTCTCGCCGCTATCTATGAAATCATACAGAATCTCCCGATTCTCCTTCGCCTTGATCTGGGCATAGAACTCTCCCGATCTCTTCAACTTGGAACTCAACTCGATCAACAGTTCCCAAAGCCCACCCGCGATCCTGGTGGCATCGTGCGACCTTCCGTGATGGTATTTGGTCCAATTGAAGATCCACTCGCCCAAGGAGTTAGCGTCAAACACGGACCCCAAAAGGATGACGGGTCTCTCGTTGGGATCCCAGTTCTTCAAAGAATAATCTTCCGGGATACCAAAAGCGGCTGCCTTCCTACGAATCGCATCGGGGTCATTGGCAGAAGGGTCAGTGCTCGCCCTCGGTGGCATGGAAGGCTTGCCGGACTTGGGAGGGGAGCGGGGAGAATGATCACCAGACCAAGTGGCCTCACGTCTATGAGCGTGAGTCCGTGATCTGGTCCGTTCGCGAGGTGGGGGGGATTGGGGGCCAGGGGTGGGGGCGGGGAACTGCTCATGGTAAGAGTATCCATTAGTACCAGAATAAGTATTGTGATCATTCTTGTAAGGACGGCTAGAATGACGGCCAGTTTCACGACGCGAGGTATGCCTGTATCGACGAGACTCTTTACGGGTTGTGGAATCCTGAGAGTAGGGATGAGGAGGAGGAGGATGAGGAGGAGGAGAAGGGTAGTGATGATGAGAACGATGATAATAATGTGAATAAAGGGGATGAGAAAATTCGGGACGACTTACGTATTCGGGCTGCTGTTGCGTAAAGCCGCCTGGTACGTAAGAGTAGAGGTTGGGCATGTTGTGGTGGGTGTGAGATGGGGGGGGGAGGGGTGTGCACAGGGGTGTGCATGAAATGGGTGCCCCTGTATTGAGCGCCCGGGCGGGGAGAAGCAGTGTTATACTGTTCATGGGAAAAGTCGGCGTGCTCATGGCCGGCCCGTCTGGATGACGACGGCCGCTTGGCACTAACATACTCGGAACCCATGAACTCGGGCTGCTGAGAACTCCTGCGCCTGCTCGAGCCGGGGGTTCGCGGCGAGGCGACCGGAGTCGGGATGGATGCTCCAAAGCCCTCTCGGTAGAAATTCGAACCCGAATGCATACCAGGCGGAGGGCTGCTGTAAGCGTATCCTGGCGGGTAGAATGGACTTGCGAAGGACGATTGTTCGAATTGTTGCATGCTGCTGCCGCTGTCTTGATATCAACTTGGGTAAAGTTGTCTTCTTCTCTTCCTCTCCTCTCGGTACGGAACGGGGGTGGGGGGGATAGGCGATTGTAGAGGCGTCTCGAACGTTTCTTCAGGACGCTTCGGCTAGAGGGGGTAGGTGTTTGGATTTCTTTCCCGTATCTCTAACATGTAAGTAAAGCAGGTAAGTAGCAGCGAAAGCGCTGAGGATATCAATCTGTCTCTTATGAAGAGGTCAAGGACTAGGCGATCCAAGTTGGAAGCGAGGTCCCTCGGTTATGTGGTGTGCAAAAATGTCGCTAACAGCGAACCTTGGGAATGCACGATGATGGAGTTGTGAGTAGCGGGCGGACTCGATGGGGGGCAGAGAGAAAAAAGGGATAGAAGGGAGGGCAGGATGGGGGAATCACCGGTATATTTGTATTGTACGAGTAGAGCGGACTGCCAGTGTGGTGGCCAAAGATATTATCAATTATTCTCCAATGGGGCAGGCAGGCAGGTCCGGGTCAGGACCTCCGCGGGTCAGGACCCCTGGACCACTCCATTTCCATCCAATGAGGGCCAGCCAAGAGAGGGCTAGATTCCCGCCCACACCGGGAGAAGTAAGTTAGGAGGGACTCACAACCGAAAAAAGCAAATTCGGGGGGGGGGGGCAAAATCTGCACACCCACTCACACACTCACAAACTCACACAACCATGCACACATGCCTGCACTGATAGTCTACACACACCAACCCCATTCCTTGCCCACCTGTGATTGCCGCTCACTCTCGCCCCTGCCCCCTTTCTCACCTCCCTGCGAGCGGTCTTGTAGCATACAGTACCCTATCCCGCCTGCTCGAGTAGGTGTCACCAGGTATCATACTCGTCCCAGCAGACTGCTCGTTTCTAACACGCTACCACAAGCGCTCAAATGTGCGTGAGGGAGAGCTTGTGAGGAATTTCAAAATTTGGTCCCCGTTACTTGTGCCGGTATTGGCTTGTCGCTTTACGCTTTGATTCCGAATGCGATCCTCCTGCCACCCCGCCGGTGGAGGGTGGCATGGGTATACAAGTAATACAAGTAAGGCAAGGAGCTACTAGCAGGAACACCCTTCCCTCACCTAACCCCCCTGTTCTTCATGTCCCTCACTGTTTCCAATCACCCAGCGCCGGCACAAGAAGGGCAGCAGAGTGGCATGCCAGAGCAGCAGTGGAGTACCGATACCGCACCCTACTGCACCAGTACAAGTACACTTGTGGACTGCAGCGAGGGTCGGTACGGGTACGGTACTCGAGCACAAGTACCTACCGTACCGGTACTCGTGCACCTGGTAACGCTACTCGAGTACGGTGCCCCCGGACTACCCCTCAACTCCTCACAAAGAAAAGATGGGGGAGCAATGTTTCTCTCTCCCCCTCCCTTCATACTTGTGCTGTACGGCACAATTACTCCCAGGGAGCCCCATCCCACTGGTCGAGTATACCGTACTGTACCGTACTCCTGCCTCAGCCCTCGAGTAACCCACACATCATACGTACTGTATCATACCTAAAAATGAGCCTCTGCTACGCCCACCCGCAACCGACCAATAAATAGCGGTACACTTACGTGCTTAACAAGCACTGTACGCCCGCGCAGCCCCCTCGCTCACTTATCACTGCCATGCTCGCACAGTAAGGGAAGAAATAAAAATACCATCACCGTGGACCGTCCACCCTATCACGAACCTCGCGCTATGATTAGAAGCCGCAATTTACCACCAGCGAGTGCTGGACCGTTTGTCAGCTCATTTTCATCCTTCTTTCCCCTTCCCCCAGTGGAGATTTCTGGGTCTCCGTTCATCCTATCGCGCTGAAATCATCCCTTCGAATGGCGACAACAATCCCTCCTGTCCTAACCTACCAGGAAGGCCGCACTGCATTCTTCAGCGGAAGACCGCTTTCCAGCTCTCGCCCCTTCCGGTAGACTCTCGTCCCTTCACTGACTCCCACTCACCCTTTTTTCCCCCTTCCTCCCCTCCTCTCTTTCTTCCTCTCCGCCCCACACCCGTCGTCGCTGCCCGGGCCTGGCCCCAATGCTCCGCTTGACTACGGCAGCCGCCTTTCATTCCGAGAGACCAACCCGCTCTCACAAAGGGAACCGACGGGACAGGACAACCAATCCCCATGAGCACGGCATCTCGTTCACTGAATTCAACTCGATTCAAACACCCCGCTACTCGAGCAATTTGCTGCTGCTCCACAAACAAACCTTCAAACCCAACAGGTCGGGATACGGGTACCGGGAATGTTTGCAATTGTAATGAACTAATTTTAAATGGGTGCAAAAAAAATTTGCTGCCAAGGGTGAGCGACAATCCAACCATCTCCCTTTCTAGCGTGTTTCTCAAGGCTTCTCCCTCCCGTTCAAACAGGGCATGGTCCAGTAACACAGCACCCGTCGTGCTTTGGGTAAAAGATGAGGAATGAAAAAAAGGAAGGAAAAATAAATCGGTAACCGTTGGGAATCTCCGTGCGCTCAGGGCAAGGAAGGAAGGGAAACCCACTCCTCACTCGCCGCTTGCCCCTTTTCCAAACAGCCGGGTCCGGAAATGAATTCACTAGAAAGAAAAGAGAAACAACCCGCTGAGACCTCCACACCGGTACAAGTAAACGAGAGGTCCTCCGTGCGAGTGCTCCCCTCCTCACCCCTTTCACCATGTTGACTCCCAATGCTTCCTCTTCCCTACCCTTTTCCAATCTCCTAACCTCTCCGGAGTCACCACCACACCCTACCAATTGCCTATTCGGCCCACCAGAAATCCGGAAAAAGGGAGCTGTAACACTTGTGAACCATAGAAATTGCAAGCCCCGTTTGATATGTTTATATTTCCTTCTTCCTCATCACACAGATCACACACATACGCCTCGATCCGGAAGCGAAAGAGTCCGTGTGTGCGCCAGGAAGAAAGGAAGGGAAAGGATGGTACAAGTGCCGGTACGACTCCGTACTCGAGTACAGTGCGAGTACGGTATGGTGTGAAGTTGGAGGGGTGATATTGATGTGACTGCTGAAAAAAATACGGTGAAAAATTTTTCCCACTCTATGTCCCACTTGAGTCATTTACTCATTCATTGAATTTTGGAGATTTTTTTTTCTTTTTTTTCTTTCCTCTCCTCCCTTCCTCCCGCCTTCGAACCGAGTTCCATTGGGAGTGTTGGGTAGGTCGTGTAACCCATCATCTTTGTCCTCGAGTACCGTATAGGAGAGGAAAGAAGAAATCCACTCTGCTTTGATCGCTTTGTGCAATTCACGAACATACTCGTACAAGTACAAGTATATTGGCATCGTAGGGTCACAGGAGAAGAAAATATGGTTCAGGCATCATCACTGTGGGTGTCTTTTACTTTACACCTGAATAATCGAAGAAAAAAAATTGGAAATGCGCGACGACGTAGCCGGAAGGGGTGTGCCCAGAGATCGAAAAGAAAAGAAAAAAAACCTTCACCCTCACTGGTATGACGACGAAAGTCTGCCCATCCCTCCATCGGTGGAGCGCTCTGGCAATTCGACAGCTGCACAGCTTCCTCCCTCTCTATCAAACGAGGGGCGCTCGGGCAATTCAATTCAATTCAGCGCGGCGATTCCTCGTGCAAAATCAGAACAGCTCAGGGCGCTCAGCTCACCCATTTACCTGCACGATACTGTACGAGTACAGTACGGTACCGTACGGAGTAGGAAATCTTCACTAGAAATCGCCCAATTCGCCGCCAATACCTTCGCTAGTCCAGCACCCTTACTTGTAGAACATACAAAACTTAGGCTGTACGGCACTCGAGTATCTCCGTACTGTACGAGTACTTTATCGGCAATCAAGCTGTACCGCACAAGTGCGGTGTCTACTCGTACGGTGCCTACGGTATCTATCATTTGGATTGGGGGCCATTGGGCCGTTTGTGGGTGTAACGCTTGGCTTCCGTATTCTCGCCCACCTATAGTGGGGTACGAGTGCTCGAGTGCAGGAAATACACTTCGCCTCGGCTGATTGGTGCGCAAATTGTTCAGCATCATGCTCCTGCAGTGCAGTACAGTACGGTACTCGAGTACTGTACTCTCGCACAGCACCGGGGAAAAAGGGCGCTGAGATAACGCTCGAGTACTTTGTATGATATGTAAGCCGTAGATCGTACGGTGTTTCCGTTCCGTGGGTCGGACGCTTTTCAACAAAGGCATTATTTTCACCCGCGTCGCACCAGTGCTGTCTCCTCCTCCTCCCCCGACATCACAATAGCCTACCGTTAACCCGATGCCTCCCATTCCATCCTTCATCTGCCCGGGCGCTGACCACCGGCCGATTGGACAGATCATCGTCACGCCGTGTGCAACTCCAAACAGCTAAGCCAAACCCTCACTCGCCCAGAGCCCTCAACTCCTTCCCCATTCCAGAGCACTGCAGCCGAGCGCCGAGGACTCCTTATCCTTACAACCTGCTACAAGTACAGAGGCATCCTCGAGTAGCCAGTACGATGCATACTCGCCTTTGCATAATTACCTTGCAGATAAGGACAGCGTATCAGAGTTCCCTCCCACCATCCTCTTCGCTATCCGTCCGTGCCCGTAGGCGTGCTGGTCAATGGTACTTTTGCAGTGCTGTTGCATCATAGGTGTATCTGTGAAGTCCCGTACCGTACCGTTACAGTACTCGTACATGAGTTAACCCATATCTTTCATCGAGCCTCCCTTACTCAGTATAGAGGACCGGTACCAGCATGGGAAATGCAGCCCTCGAGCGACACTGCAGGCAGGTTGGTAGGTCACAACTGATTGGCCTTGGAAAGGCTGGATTGGGGGGGGGGGGGGTGTAGCTTGGGGAATTACGATAGGTAATGGAAAGCTGAGTTGTTCTTTTTTTTTTCATTCTTTCTTTCATTCTTTCTTTCACTCCCTTCACTCCCTCTCACCCTTACTCGAGTACACCCTTGCTGTTGCGCCGCAGGCGAGATTGGGTATCATGCTAACGAACTCGAGTTGTTTGTTTGTTCGTTCGCCCTTACCACCATAAGGCCAGCAGAAGAAGTCATCTATTCGTCCAACCTGACCTCTACAGTCGCCGTTCGCTCGCTCGCTCGCTGGCTGGCTTATCTTTACACCGGTTTGACATATCTTCCCCCCCCCCCCGATTCACATTTTTCCCATCCCCTCTCCGCATCCGTCTACCGGTGCTGTATCGCCGCAATTTTTTACCTCCCCCCTCCCCCCCGTACGGGGGGCCCAGTCCTTTTCACTGCAATGCTCGAGTCTGATACTGAATACCTTTTATTTTATTTTTTACCCTGTCTTTTATAACAGCCTTTTGGTGAAATAAGGGCAGAAATATCGCACCAGGGCCATAACTGATATGCATATAGTGCATAACTCCTGTGCGTTGTTCTGCGCGAACACTTTTGAATGTGATAACACGACTGTGGTACAGGCATTACCTGTACAAGTCGCAGTGAGGGCTTTAAAAAAACTGGAAAATCCGGTAACAGGGCACAGAGCTCGAAAAACGTGGAGCATGGCTTACTAGTACATTCTCTTCTTTTTTGTATGTGCACGAGTGGAGAGCACGAGAAAGAGGGGTCCTGTGCCGGCCTGCGATTATTGTATTGGCTCGCGTGGGGGAAGTGGCGCCGTGGGTTCGAACTCTGACGTGGTTGATCCGCAGGAATAACTTAGCTAAGGTTGTCTTTTTTTTTCTTTTTCTTTTTTCTTTCTTCTTTTCTTCTTCTTCCTCTTTTCCTCTCTTTTCTTGCTTTTACTTTTATACTTTGCTTGAATCGCCTTTCTCTCATTCCTGTTTCTGTTTTTGTTTTTTTCCTCTTGGTCCTATCAATCGAGCGGATGGCGTGCAGGGAAAGGCGATGGTGATGAGGATTTAGCGATGATGAGGGTTTCTGCGATGAAGGCGGGGGATTGAGGGTCCTATGGCGGCTGAGGTTCGCTCTGACGAACGAACAAAATTTGGATGATTTGGATGAGGGACACGGAATATCGTAAACTATGGTACTTGTTCCGGTACCACATCTTCTGGAAATTCTGCGAATCGAGTGATGGGGGGAGGAGGTTGGATCCCGCCCCTCACGTCCCTCCCTCCCCTCTCAGCCTCCCGTTTCTGGACCCCGCCTCTCGAAGCGGTTGGGCTCTGCCTGGGTGGTTGGTGCTTCTCCCACGTGATTTCAAAAGCTTATCCTGTGGAGGCGATATTGTGGCTTGAGTCGTCTCAGTTACCCGGACAACCGCGCCATTGGATAAAGAACGCGCTAACCAACCCCCCCCTTCCTCCCGAAACCCCAACCATCCCGACATGGTTCCTCCCCTTCCCCTTCCCCTTCCTTTCCTTCCTTCCTTCCCGCCTTCGCCCTGCTTCCTCCTTTGCCTTCAACACCATCCCCCAAAACTCTTATTTCTTTTTCACCTCCATCCATACACTAACTGACGAGTTTAGTTGCTTGCACACCCCACACGCTTGAACAAACGAGGCTGTGCTATGATGTGAGTCACGGCGAGGCGACGCGCGTTTGGCCCTGTTCTACCGCCTTTCCCTTTGTCCTCTTGCCCACCTCGTCTCGGGTCTACCCCGTCCGTATGCCTCCGGCGGCCTTCCGTCGTATTCGACCGCGGGTTCGGTGCGATTGGGTCCGTCCTCCCTCCGCCCGTGTATGAGGGGACGGCGGGATTGCGTGGTTATGGCAAACACTTACGTGTATACGGGAAGGGGATGGGGCTGCTCCGAACATTACTTGGCACGGTCCGGACAACTCGCCATCCTGCTTCGCCCACTCTATTCGGTTTCTTGGATTCGCCTCCGTGGTCTCCGCCTTTGGTTTTTTTTTTTTCCCCGTGCGCGCGTCTGATACGTTCGATTTCGTTTAGAGTTACAACGCGGGGGGGGGGAGCAGGTTTCTCCCTCATTAATCTCGTTGACTCATTCACAGACCTCTTCCACTTGTTTTTTTTTGTTCAGTGGTCGGGTTCCCTTTATCTCATCTCGGCGGGGGTTGATTTCATGTGATGTGAACTCTGCTCCTCGTCCTCGTTATTGGGGGAGTACAGCACGGACGCATGGATAGATGGGGATGGGATACCGTAGATGAATGGACGGATGGATGATGGAGTATATTTTCGGATGAACTCAGCCTCACCTGGCATTCATCTACAGCTACGACTCATCAGGTACACGATACCGGCACTTTTCATTCGTTTGGATCTCACCGTCGGAATGTCAACTTTACGGCTCCTGCAGGATGGTTGGAGGGCAAAGAGGCAACACCTTCTTTCCAATCTATTTCCAAAGGTTGTTTCGACCCTTTGAGTCATTGGTCTGCTGATGAGGCGCTCAGGGACTCTCAATATAATGAAGGGAAGAACGAAAAGGTCTTCAGTCGGTCATGACCTGTGATCGCGGCATACTATCTTGACTTTTTTTTCTTTCTTTTTCTTTCTTCCTCCTCTCATCCTCTACAAGTATGACGTTGGCCCTCTTAATTTTAATCTTTAATTCTTTTTGGAAAAGGCCGACCTCGAGTATGACGATATCCAGGAAACTTCTGATTTAGGCTGTATGCTGAAGAATAGCCTTATTGCACGGAGGACCTTGTTTTTTTTTTTTTTTTTTTTGCACCCGCATTTTTCGATCGGATCAACCTTTTTCACCCATCGATCACAACCTCACCGGAGACGTTTTTATAATAATTGCCCTACCGCATGTAACATTCCCTCCCTCCCTCCTAAGGTGGTGGGTGTCGGGACGGACTTAAGGACACTTTTTCTATCTTTGGCGCCCGTGCCCCTCCGCCCCATTCCATTTCGCCTTGAGGGAAAAAACCTTTGGACGACCAAACTTTTTTTTTCTTCTTTCTCGTTTATATTGGAAATATTATAATTATCGGGCGCCTATCACTATACCGGTACTAGTACTGCACCATAGTCGACGGGCGTAACCTTGTAAGCCGGTTAGGATGATGCTGCGCGATGGTTTTGGTGAGTCAGGAGAAGGAATATAAGTGCCGGTATGCGCTTTGAGTACTGTAGGGTAGAGCAGTGTATCAAGGAAAGGCCTTACAAGCACTTGTAGAGCGCTAGGATGGATAGATGGAGCATCGGTCATGCAAATAAACAAGGGGGATCACCGCACCGCTACAAGTACCGTACCGTACCATATTCTCGAACAGCGAACATCCCAGCCAGCCCGATCAACGAATCAGGGATTCGAAACGTGTGCATGAGGCCAGAGGCCCATCCGTTTGTACGTGCGGCACCGGCACTCGTACATAACCGAGAAATCGTGGGAAGTCACGAGCAAAGGGGGGGGGGGGTTCGCACTCTTGCACATGTCCGTCGTCTGTCTGTCTGGTGCGCTGCTGTATCGCATGATGCCATAGTTCCTGACAACCAAAACCTGCCCTCGCGGCCAACTCGATCCAAAATTTCCAAATCGGGAATAACCTCTCCTTGAGAAGACACCGTAAATTCCTCTGGTAGACCTGTTCAAATAATTTATTAATATTGATACTTGTATATAGTTTTTTTTTGTTTCACCCAAGATCCTCCGAGAAGTTGTGGCGGCTTGAGTCAGGGTTGAAGGTGTTGCACATCTTTATCGGACAACTTGGGCCCCTGCAACATGACTCCGGTCATGGTTTTGAATGTACTGGTAGCGTGGAAATGAGATAGCAATCATTAGATGTCTTTAGCCGGGGTTATTTATGACAAAATTACCAGAGGAATTATTTTCAAAGGGGTTTTCTCAAATGTTAATTGTTCTGATTGTCCACCACCGTCAGCATCACTAGAAATCACTCGAAATCGAAATTGTGTGTGTAGACTATTCGCGAACAGGAGTAATATAACTCTGACATCACTATCACTATCACTATCACTATCGCCACCGCACCGGAACGTTATGATATAATAACTAAGTTAGCGCGATAATGTGCGGTACCGCTGCTCAAGAAGCGCGCGGGCAGGATCAGGAGAAAAATACACATCCCGAACACGCAAGCCCGGCCGCCATCCGCTCGCTGCACACTCACAGGCAGAGTGGAGGACGCGCTTTGTGTCATGCTGAAGGTGCAGTGCAATGTACTAGTGTCAGCCTTCTCTGCACTCCTTCGGCCCGGAATCCCTTGGACTTTGGTGCTCCTGGGCCTGAGGTTCCAATAGATGAAGGGATTGAGAGGGAAAAGGAGGAGAGAAGGAGAGAGAAAGAGAGAAGGTTATCCATCGTATCGTGCCTTGTTTGGTTGCTTGGTTGCTTGCTTTGCTTACCTGCGCGTGCAAGGCTGGGTCACGAAGATGTGGGTTCTGGTGATTCGGCGCCTGGTGAGGCGGGATGGTGAGGCGAGTGATTAATTGTGAGGATCATTTGGGTTTGTGGTTGGCGGTTTTCGCCTTGCGGCACAGGTGCATCGACTGTGCGGTGGGCTTTTAAGGTTTTGGGGATGTGCTCGTTTTTTTGCTTTGTACCGTTGGGGGGTTTTCTGGGCTGAGTTACCCTGCTTTCGGGGGGGGGGGGGTTTTTTGTCGTTTGTTCCAGAGTGAGCCCCCCCCCTTCCGCCCCGCAACGGCCCCTCCGACTACGGTAGGGCTTATATTACGCCCCACGAACCAGCCCAACCAGGCCGACGCAAAACGGAACAAAACTAGGTAGAGGAAACATGTTCGCACTGGAATTAACTGCGGATCTGACGGGGTACCTCCGCCCCCTCCCCTGCCTCTTCTTCTTGCCGCGAACTGACAGGACAGCGTGACAAACCTCCGTCCGGTAGATACCCAAGAAGATCCTTACTATTACTCCTTCCGCGTGCAGTGCACCTCCTGTCGCGAAGTGCATGATAAGTGGGTGGATTTTGATCGCTTCGTAACCTCCCCCCCCCGGCCCTTTCCTTCCCTCCCTATTGCCATACGGTAGCTAACAAGTTTAGACTACAACCGACATCTCCAAGAGCCGCGGCGAAGCTAACTTTGTCTATAAATGCCAGAATTGCACTGTTATCCCCACCACCTCCTCCGCTCTTCCTTCCCACATACTAACGGCTTGACAGCGCGAATCAAGCGCGACTATCAAGACAGCGCCGAAAGCCTACATGGCCGCGTCCCCTCCGACGAAGCAGGTCATCATCGAGTTTGAGTGTCGGGGCTGCGAGCTCACCGAGTTTAGGGTTTCGGACAAGTGGGTTGCTGAGGGGGTCAGCGGGACCGTATTCAATGAGGTGGATTTGGCGGAGGACTGGTATGATTATGATGAGAAACCGGGTGAGGAGGTTAGCGTCAAGGAGGTTGGGTGGGCTATCCGGAGGGCGTAGTGGGAGTGGTGTTGGATGGTTGACGGGGTTTTTGCGCAGTATGATGTGGGTGCGGTCATAGCTCCCGGGACCTGTGGGTTAGAGACCGGGGTCGAGACCGTGTCATATGGTGTCACTCGCTGTCTGCGGCTTCGGGCCGGCCGGGAGAGTGGTTCGGCCTGGTTGGGTGCCGTTTCTTACAAGTATCTACGGGCTTTACTGTAGCAAGACACTACCACATCCCCCCCCTCCCTAAAAGTGCAAAAACATCTGCCATATTGCAACCCTACGGGAGAGCACATGTCAATAAAATCACCTAACTTGACCTGATCTGCTCACTCCGGTGGAAGTGCACTTTACGTCCCACCACCTCCAAACCCAACCCCCGATCACTTCGTTCCCCCATGTTTCACCCTCTAGATCATATGATTCTTAGGTCAGGCTGGGATACCTGCCACGCCGGTGCCCTCCTAACACCCACCCACCCAAACGCCCTGAAAATTGCAAAACCACTTCGCCCGTTACAGTATACAGTACTTGTAACCGCCGGCAAAGGTTCTATGGCGGTCACCTCACGACGGGTCATAAAAGTCTATGATTCCGAAATGGGTTTTTCTTTTTTCTTCCTTTCCTTTTCTTCACAAGCAATAGTATCATGGTCGTCTTTCGGTCATCATATCGTGAGGAGGGAAATGGAGGGAAATGGAGGGGTGGGAGTTATGATAGGGAGTGAAGTAACTGTAACTGTAACGCTAGAAGTGGGAAATTTTTCGTGGTTCCGCTGGGGGTTGCTGTGGTCGTCTTCACGCTGTCTGGTCTGGAGCTTATGGTTCCTGCTACTGTAGACGGGTTATGATGTGATGACTCGAGTGGATAGATGTTTTTTTTTTTTTTGAATTGTCGCTTGATTGCTTGGTTGCTTGCCTAGGATTCAGGATCCATGATTGATTGATTGTGTAGAGAGAGAGGGGGGGGGGAAGCGCTTGATCGCCCGGTTCTGGATATGATACCCACGGATGCTTTCTGGTGATGTTGGTATGGGGTGGTATGGAATGTGGGGTGAATGTTCCCTGCTTTTGGCTTTCGTTACTGGTGTTATTATTTTTATATACCGGTACTCTAATGCAGATTCCCGGGTAAGAGCGAGATATACTGAACCTGTGACTTTTTCTTTCTTTCTCTGGATTTTTTTTTTGGAATTCCCCATGCTAGCGGTTGCCGTGAGATGTGTCTAGGGGTTGGTTTATTAGGTCTGTGTTTGGTTGGATGGGGATTTGGAAGTTTCTTATATCATATCATATCATATCATGCGTAATTCCTGGAAAGGATTTATGGTACTTCTGGTAGATGTTTTCAATGGGGGTGGGAGGATCTGGAGAAACGTGGTGTGTATGTGTGTGAAGCTATCGTACTACCGGTATTTGATACTCACCGCGCGGGATATATGAGAAATCGGTGTGATAGTGCGGGGGTCGTCGCGGGTGTAAGGGGAAATGGGCATGTTGTGTTATTACTACTACGGTGGGATGAGTTGCCCACTGTGCAGGGGGGATTTATAACAAAGAGCGGAAGAATGGCGGTGAGGGCGTAATGGGTCAATAGTTGGATGTGTGGTGCTTGAGGGGAGGGTAAGCTTTCTCTCCGTACGATATGTGCTCTTCGGGATTTTTGTGGAATCCACCCGAGGCCACGGAGAAGAATTGTGCCTCTTGCACCTGGCTGATGTCCCCCCTCACTCGATTCTGCCCCATTGTCGATTGCGGTGTGTGTGACGGGATCTGGTCTCTCGGAATTATTAACGTCCAAGTCACTGGATGAATGAATTGAGATCGAGCCCTTGGGGTGTCGTGATACGAAGGTGATGTTCCGATCCGGAGGTGTGGGTTCCATACTCGAGTACCGTACTCGTACTGTGCAATGGATCATACAGCTTTGTTTTTGTTGCTTTTCGCACAGCGCTTCTGCTTTATTGTTTTCTTCTTTCGTACCCCAATGTTTGAATTTTCGAACCTTTCCCTCTTTGCCCTTCCTGTATTGGCCTTACCCGTCATGTTTTCTGCGGAACCGGAAACCTTTTTTCCTCTTCTTCTCTTCTCTCTTCCGGTCTTTGGCTGCGGTTTTGTACATTGTTCCTGACTTGGATGATATCACGCCCGACTTGTTCCTGGACATCTATGATATGGTGCTACCGAGCGGGGGAGTGGGGTCGGGGGAGTTTCTTGCGCTGTGGCAAGTATCATACGAGTACAAAAGGAGTACAGTGCCAGAGTAGGGGCGGCGTAGGGTACGGTACTGGTACTCCAGTGGCTTTTCGGTATATACCATGCCCTCTTCCCCCTTTGGAGTTTTCGGGTGCCGTACTCGTGCTTGTTCAAGTCCCGAGGAAACTAGTACCCGAAAACAGGGATTACGAGATGTATACAAGTAACGAAGCGTCTATGCCTATCCAAGAGCTAATGCAAGATGCTGTACTATAAGTAGTGCCGGTACTCGAACAAGTATACCTCTCCTGGTTCCGGGTACAGTACTGTACTACTACAGCATGAGTACAGTACTAACTAGTAAAAGTGCTTCTAGCCTGGGGACAAAGTACCGTGCGGCAATTCCTGTTTGGGACGTGATAAGGATACAGTGTCATACCGTACCTACCGGCGCAGGTACTCTAGTACAATTTTTGTGTCTGTTGGGGAGACTCCACTGTTGGGGGGGGTTGGAGGATCTGTAGCGGAATGTGTGCGGACTGCCGGTGCTCTGACTCTGTGGACGGTATTCACTGTACGGTACGAGGCGAGGCGAGGTTGCCAGCGGGTGTACTAGTACTGTAGCAGACAAGCCTGGTAATGGTGGTGTAAACCTCGGATTTCGCCAATCGATCTCTTCAGAAGAGTTCCTGCATCATGGCTTTTTTGGGGGAGGATTGGTGAGTGCTGTTTGTGTGATTCCGGTATTATTTGCGCTCTCATCGGAACTGCAGGATCTATCCTACCACTTTCTCCCTATCTCTATCTACGGTACCTGTATCTGCCTGCATCTCTCTCTCCCCTTTATCCCTTTTCGGTGCCGGGTTTTCTGCACTGTTGGGGACCGCAGCCGTAAGAGGAAAATCTAGGCTTGATACACAAGCCACCGGCCGGCATGGGAACGCAAACTTGGCGGGAGAAGTTTGTACTACAAGTAGTACGGTACGGTACGCTACTCGACGGCGCCCGGCATCACCTGGCTTGGATATTGGTTGTCTTGTCCTGTCTTGCCTTGTCATAATCCGTTTGGGGTAGGAGCGGGAATTTTTATTTTATTTTTACCTTTACTTTTCCTGTGGTACCCTTACCTCCTGGGGCTTCATCATGTCGGGACGCCAGAACGGTAATTGCCGGAAAATAGTAATCCCGGTGTTGGGTTCCCGTCGTGGGTTTCTGCCGCTAGGTTTGTATGGTACTCGTTTCATGGTTTGGGCATCGTACGCACTACGTATGCCTTGATGGTAGGGGGATGCCCTTGATTTTTTGTCTTTTCTTCTTTTCCTTTGAAAATGCATTGATGAGTTTTACGGGGGTTACTTTTTCGCACTGCTTGTGCTGTGTTCGGGCGCTTGGGGGGGGGGGATGGCCCCTGTGCCACAGGTACCAGTGCCGGTTCTGGCAAGCAGAAAAACGGTAAGGGGCTCGTGGAATCTGTTTCTCGTTTGCACTCAATGGGCTTGGGTGTGCATATTTGAAAGGGGTGTTCGTTGGGAATGCTCACTGACTGCCCCCAGTACTCGTATCCGGATGCGGTAGAGTACCAGGTACAGTGCTGTGCCAAAAGTGGCTGTTAAAGTTGGGCTGGTCCTTGTTGTGCTCTCTGTTTGGGTACTACAAGTACGGGCGCTGAGGTACTGTACGGCGCTCAGTAGTACCGGTATTCGAGTACCGGTACGGGTACTGCACTCAGCTTTCTTGTCAGCGCACGGGCATTTGGGCGAACAGACGTCCTCAGCTTTACGCTGCAGCTTGTCTTGCGGGCGAAGCGGAACAAGCCGCTGCTACTTGTAGCTCAGAAGTGAAACTTTTTTCTTTCACTTTGCCACTTCTCGCTTCTTTATTTTCCTTCTGCTCCTCCGATTGGAGAGAGCTTGGTGTCCCGAATGGGGGAAAGGATGGCTGGGCGTCTTGGTCTCAACTTAAGCTTTTCTCCCCTGCAGAGCTTGACACGCGATGCCGATCGCACTAGGGAATCGTTGGATCCTATGATATTCTATCCTCATCCCTGGTTTCCTGGAGTCCTCTCTTCTGGGCTGCTCCCCGCACGGGAATTCGATTCCTCTGCTCTCATAGTCTTTGTTTCCCGTTTGTTCTTGTTGTGGTTGTGGTTTTTTTCTTTATTTTTGGTTTCACTGCCGGCGGCTCCCCGTCACGCGGTGTGGGTTCGCGTGTGCCTGCACTGTCGGGCGGATTAGCCACAAAGGTTTTTGATGGCGTTCTCGCGTTGTACCGGCCCTTGCAGCTGCTGTATGAGTGCATGCAGTGCTACCGGTATATTGCTTCTGGTATTATGGTGGAAAGGTGCTCGTGAAGTTCATTTCACGCGTGTTTCCTTTGTAGGACCTGGTACTGTCCTCGTACAATACTGGGGTCGCGTACAGCCTATACCAACAACTGTTCAGCCGAATCAATGCTGTAGGGCCTCTGGGAGAGGGAACCCCGGAGTGGAAACTCTCTCTTGCAAAATGGTCTACTGAGTTGGACCCGCTCGAATGCCACGGCTCACGGGTTGGGCGGGTGGCGGGCGGGACATGACCTTTTGCAGGATGGGGGAGTCGGCTGTCGGCCGATGAATGGGTGTATTATTATTATCTCTTCCATCAGGAAGCTTGGATCGGCTCTCGGGAACCGGTTGGTCCTTGGGTATGCGGACCCTAATATGGCAAGGATAAAAGTGGGTTTCTGGGCGGGGGGACCACTTCGCTTCTTCGCTTCTGACTTTCTTTATGTGCTTTCGGGTCCCGGTTGGGGCTGGCCAATGTTGCACACAATTGGCGGGATACCAACATATCAGAGACTTTCAGCTGACGTGGGCTTGGACATTGACTGGATATTCCCACTTTGAAAGTAGCGGTGGCCCGCATCGCCTAATCCTGGCCCTCTGTTCTCTCTTTGTTATCGTCATCATCAGGGTATTTCTCTCCACCCACTGTGGCGTTTTTGCCGCGTTACCAAAGTATCACTGTTTGGGAAAGCAACACCAGAATGGGAGCACCCAAGGTGCAGCACTGCGGCCTGCCACTCGATTGAGATCTCTATGAGAGAATGGGCTGAGGAGTAGAAAGCGGAATGAAAAAATATAATCCCATAAATATATAACCTTGCTCCAAGGACCGGACTTGGAAGCTCTTTCATGCGCTGATCCTTCTCACTCGCACTTGCAGTCTTTGATTCCACGGATCCACCGCTTTCCGCACCTTGATTCAAACAGCGTATTCAGGGGCCCGAAGCTTACCGTATCATAGCATATTCCCCTCCCCTTCTTTGTTCCTCATTCATCCCGCAACGGGTATCAGCAGAGGGCAATTGAGGGAGAGGAAGGCCCGGACGAGATGAAAGCGATGTTGGAGTTCCTGCGGACCGGAAGAAGCGACTGGCCGCTACTCCTTGTCCTTTTCTTGTTTGTGTCTCATTGTGTTGGTGCTCCGACAGACAGTCCCCGTGATGCAGATCAGGCGCAATCCGGCTATCTTGACAATCACAACATGGATCCGGCTATTGTGCAGGGTTCGACGTTTGGTAGGGTTTTTTCCTCATTTTAGGAATTAGTTCCCTTGGGTGTACGGGGAATTTGAATGCTTTTTCGGGATCAATTTTCTGACTAATTTCGATGCTTTAGGTCAACTTTGGCGTGTCAAGATGGGAGGGGAGGTGGGCGGGCTGAACGAGCAGTAAGCTAGCGCCTGATCAACAAACCTTCGGTTTATTTGGGTTAGATTAACGTTAGGCGTTTCGAAAAAGGTTCTATGCAAAGCCCTTGGTTTACACCCCTAAAACGGCGGGCAGTAAACAGGTGCTTTTTGTCGCTTCAGGTGAGTATGCGATCCAGCAAGCATGGGAAAAGGGTGAATCCGAAAACGGTCTGTCCCTTACTAACTAATTTCTCAGAAACGAATTGGGTCTATGTTATGGATGCTGTATGGTCGCCCCCCCCCAAGAACTTGTTTTGGCGAGGTTCATAGAGAAATGGCTTTTCAATTATCGCATGGGTTGAATCATTCGCCTAAAGGGTTGTGTTAACTAACCCGTGATACAGGTCACTGGGGTGACCCTGAGATCAAAGCAGGTCGCGACCCCATTCCTGGTTTCGGATATTGGGTGCAACGACATTAGTGGCTTCAGTAGGGTCCCAAGGATCTATTTTGACCCTTTCCTTTAGGCTTCTGCGGGTGCCTGCAGGTGATTGAAATGTTGCCATTGCGTACTAACGACCGTTTAGTTGGTATTACTGGGACTCCGATCATTGATCCGGCCACCGACACGGTTTACTTCTACGCAAAGTCGTATCCGGGAGCCGAGAGGGGGGTGTATAATGGTGCATATTGGATCCATGCACTAGATATTAACAATTTGAAGTGAGTGATTTCTTGTGTTTATAACTTTGGACTCGCGGGTTAATCGTGAGATCTCGTTTGCAGCGACCGACCGGGATTCCCGAAGAAGGTTGATGGATCCGTTGCCGACAATGACCCAACTCGCTATTTCCATGGAGGGACTCACCTTCAGCGGACCTCATTGTCTATGATCAATAACATCGTATACGCTGGGTTCGGCGGACATTGCGACAAGTACAATTTTACCGGGTGGGTCGTGGGGGTGGACAAGACTACAGCGGAAGTCAAGGCGACTTTTGCTACAGAATCTGGAGCATTCGGGCCGCAGCAGGATGGCACATTTGAGGGAGGTGGAGGTGGAGCAGGCATCTGGATGAGTGGAATGTCTATCTCTTCGGACTCACCCAATCGTCTGTTCTACGTGACTGGAAATGGGGAAGGACATCAGAACAAGGAGATCCCTGCTTCTGGGAGAACCCCACTGGATACGTTGGATGAAGCGATTGTGAATATGAGGATTGATCCAGCGACGGGGAAACTTTCGTTACAGGATTATTTCGAGCCGTATGAATACATTGTGAGTACACCTGTGGGGCGGGGTGGTAGTTTGGGTGTACGGTACTGACGGCCGCTAGTCAATGGATGCAGGCGATCGTGATTTGGGGAGTGGGGGTATAGCATTGCTGGATCCGAATAGTAAGCACTTGGTTCAGTGGTCTCTTCTAGAGGTATTTGCTGAGTGCGTGTAGCCTTCTCTGGAACAAACGCTGCCCGGCTGGGTGTCACTGTGGGAAAAAATGGTAAAGCCTATATCGTTAATCTGGATAATCTCGGCGGATTCAAGATGGGCCCAGCAGGCTCGGACGCGGTGGTCCAGACTTTACAGATGCCTGGAGGAGGGTCTGTGTTCGGAGGGACTGGGTCCTATCCTCTTGAGGGTGGATACATTTATATGACACCAGTAGAACTTCTTTCTCGTCTGATGTGCATGGCTTTGAATGTTGACTGATGGAAAACAGGTTGGATATCCGACACTCGTTTATAAATTTGGGAAGGATGCCAACGGGAGGGCTGCATTCACCCAGGTGGCTCAGACTGATGAGAACAGTGCCGGTCGGGTTGGCGTTGGTGTCCCTACCATCACCACTTTCAAGGGACAGGCAGGAACGGCCATCTTATGGATTGCAGATGTTGATGGCGGATTAAGGGCTTATAGAGCAGTGCCGGAGAGTATGCTTCCCGATGCCGCTTGGCCTGCATAGCTTGGAGGCTAACTTATCCCATTTTAAGATGGTAAGATGATCCGGATTCAGCTTCCCCCTACACCCTCGGTTTCGAAATTTCAAAGGCCCTCATTTGGTGATGGGAGGTTGTATCTTTCTACTTCTAATGGCTATATTCAGTGTCTTGGTATGTTAGAGATCAGTGCGTATTGATCCGAACTGGTTGTTTTTTGCTGACCGTTAATCTAAGGGTCTCCGGTCGCACTTCCATTGAATTGTACAAGTCCGATATCCTTTGGGGATTTGACTATCGGGAGCAAGAGGACATTACAGGTCAATTGCACCGCGCTCATCGCGATTACAAAAGTTGACGGGATAACATTGAGTAATCCCTTGTTCACGGCCTCAAACTCTTCGCTACCAACTGGAGCACTCGTAAAAGGGCAGTCGTTTAGTTTTCCCGTTACTTTCGATCTCACCAATGCCACTATCAAAGACATACCTGGGACTTCAGTTCCCAGTGTGAAGCCTGGTATCACGTCGGGGGCTTTGAATATTATGACGGTATGTGTGACGGCCATTCCTTGCGCATTATGGCTAACAAATGATAGACTAATGGGGTCGATAAATTTGCGAATCTCCAACCTATTGTGGTATCAGGAAACCTCGCTTCGGCACTTCCTTTCTTGGCAATAAGTCCGGTAGAGGCAGACTTTGGCGGAATAGTTATCGGTTCAGCTGCGGCAGAGGCCGGCGTTCCAGGCAGTATGGTGGTGCAGAATGTTGGGTCAACAGATATGCATATTACAGGATATGGCTGGACTCTTGGTGGTTTAGAGGGCGGGAATCCGGAATGGGTCAATGTCACGGAAAACAGTGCGACGAACCATACTGTTGGGCCGAGCTTTTACGCAGTGGATTTGCCCGCGGTCGGCAGCACAGTCGGTCCGGGGCAATCGATTGTTATTAATTTGAACTTTAGGCCATACGAGGTTGGCAGTTATCACTCGGTGTTCCAGATTTGGAGTGATGGTGGTGCACAGTACATTTTACTCACCGGGTAATGTGATCCTGTTTTTTTTCTTTTTTCTTCGGATATTTGCTAATTAGTAATAGTGTTGCAACCATTGAACCTAAAGCCGTTCTCGAGGTCTCAACTGCAGAGGGTGGATGGAATACTGGAGACTTGATTGACTTTGGCCCTCAATTGGCAGGTGTTTCGTTGATTCGACAGATTCGCCTTAGTAACACTGGTGGTAGTGCTCTGACGATCACTAAGAGCAAAGTATGTTGTCCTTGTCTGAGCGGGATCGGCATTACCACTGCTGACATCTATGTTTAGCCTCCGGAGGGCGCGGAATTGACAGCGACAAATCCTACTGGCGAGTTATCCGAAGGACTTAAAATCCCGCCGGCGGGCTCTGCCGTTGGGAGTGTGCTTTTCCAACCAGCCGTTCGTCCTGTAAACCTCGCGCCCAAGTCGATCAATGGGACTTGGACACTAAACACCGATGACCTGACATTTGGGGTTCACAATGTGTTGGTGCAAGGAGTTATTCTGTCACGCCAATTAGGTCCATTACTCCCGGACGGTACGAGCAGGTACAAGTATCTTGGGTGCTACAAAGACACTGTTGCGGGACGTTTGCTGGATAAGAACAACAACTTAAAGCTTAATAACGAAAACGGTATCTGTCAGCAGACGTGCTTAGGGCAGGGGTATATCTTTGCCGGAACAGATATGTATAGCTATCCCTGTGGCATTGCAACGAAACTGATAGTGAATACAGTATCATCAGGAATGTTGGTGTGGAAACAGAGTACCGAATAAGATATATTTCTACGAGGAGAGCGCTAACAAGTGCACTTGGACTTGTACAGCGGATAAAACTCAGGCGTGTGGAGGTGATGGGGCGTTCATAAATAGTAAGCTAGCTTGTTTGGGGGCTTGATTGGTGTGGAGAGGGTACTGATGTGGCGCTCTTTCAGTCTACTATGATAGTCTTCGGTACAATGGGGCTGCTACTACTGTAACTACGACGACCGCGAAGTCGACCACTACTACCAATAGCACGTCGACGAGTTCCTCGGGTGTTACTACGACTACATCTTTGTTTTCCAATACCACCATATCGACCTCCTCATCGTCTGGTACTGTGGCATCGTCGACAACGGTTACCACTGGCTCTAATTCGACATTGACCACCGCTACCGACAGCACCACCTCAGACTCCACGGCACCCACATCTTCAAGTTCCTTCACCACCACCACCAACTCCAACTCGACATCAGCCGCAGACAGCACAATCACGGACTCCACGTCATCCGCGTCTTCAAGTTCATCCACAATTACTATCAACTCCAACTCGACATCAACCACAGCCACCGACAGCACTACCACAGATCTCACAACATCCACATCTTCAAGCTCTTCCACTGTGGACACCACAGCCACTTCCTCATCAGCGACAGACGCCGACACCACCTCTTCTACTTCTACCTCTACCTCCGCACAACCAACATACACCGGTCCACCCCGTTACATAACCCAATACAACAACTACACCCTCCAGGGCTGCTGGACCGAAGCAACCAAGGGTCGCGCACTCAAGTCCAAATCCCTCTCGATAGCAAACATGACAGTGGACATGTGCTGGGGCATGTGCAACCAGTACCAATACTTTGGCCTGGAGTACTCGAAGGAGTGCTACTGCGGGGACGTCCTCCAGCCCGGATCGGAGAATAGCACCTCCGGTGCCCTGTGCAATTTGAAGTGCGGCGGGAATTCCACCATCTATTGTGGTGGCAGGTCCAGGTTGAATTTGTACCAGTTTAACGCTACTTTGCAGAATTCCTCGAGGGTGCTCGTGGGGTTTGACCTACCGCTTGCGGATTAGGCTTGTGTGGGGAGGGGAGTGTAGGATTGCTCATTTTATTCGCTAGAGTTTATGTATTTTCTTATTTGTCATGATTTTCATGGTATCTTGGATGTACCAACAGGAAGGTAGATATGGACCCTGTTTTGGTCATTGATAATGGTAACGTTTATGGATGGATATGAAATATGAATATGAATATTATTTCTCTCCTGCTTTCCCTGTGTGGCTTGCATGCATTGAGAGGTAAAGATGAAGCCGAGCGCAGTACTCCGCGGACATTATCACTTCATATCAAACAACCGGCCAGCAAAGTAAATAGCCACCTGCTCTGGAAAGAGCAGTTGACCTGCACCCCAAGAATCAGCATTCCTAAGACACCCAGTACTCCAATCCCGTGCACCCAATGATACAGAATAACACCAAGCCTGGCGACATCTCCATTTGATCGTCGCCAAAAAAACCGGTGGCGCATGGGGGACCGGCCGCCAGTCAGTCCGGGTATGAGTGATAGAATATGATTTGCGGTGTCGAACCCGGGGGGTTTTTTGGGTTTTGCTGGAATGAAGTGTGTGTGCGTGTGCACTGGAAAGCTCTTCTCGATTGACCTTTGATAGCGATAATCCACGTAAGTAAATACATAACTTAACCACGACTTTTTAAACCACCAGCAACTGGAACCACCAGTCCCTTGGAAACAGCGCGCACATCACACCAACAATTCTCCGAATTCGAACCCATTTATTTCCATGTGAGGGGGCCCGAGGGAACCGAAGTGATTCTTCTCGACGACCGAGAATGCTGAATTGACAGCGCCGCGGGTATGATACGCTAGTTACTGGATTCCGGGCTTTCGGGAGAGATATGCCGGTGATGGTATGACCGGTATATATATATAGATAAATATTAGAATATGCATTTTCTTTCTTGTCATGCTATTCTCGCCTGCGGTGGATTTTCAAATTCGGCTTTTCTCTTTTCGGGTTAGCGCTTGCGGGGTTTGTCCCTAATATACTGGCTTGGAAAGCTCTTGTAGCCTTCACTTATGGTCAGTGCTCGTGTGCGAAATATTGTGTCACCCCGACATGCGGGGGGGGGGGGTGGCTCGGCCGGGAAACTCGAGAATGTGATTAATAGGGAGGGTTCCGGGCTCTCGGAAAAATAGGCCGCGAACTAAGCATAGTGTAGTGCATAACAGACAGCACAGATACGGGTATCAGCTTTGAACATTGTCCAGCATAATATGAGGATATCTGATATCACCTCTCGTTGAAGGGATGGATACACTCGCTACACTTCTAATGATATACTTCCCGCCCCAGCCCGGATGTGTGATCTTCCAGTGATGAGTATTTGAGCGTCCGGAGACTCTTGGAGAAACCCGGTTCAGCAGATCGAGAGGCGTAACCCGATATGCTTCCATACACATCCAGAACGTCGCGGAAAATTAACTTTCGGTTAAAGCATCGCAGCACAACTTTTCATGATATGGTTCCGGCCGTCTATAACGTCCACCAGCTCAAGAGCAATGGGGACGCAGTCTTGGCATGCAACGTTAGGTTAAATAGGTGTTATTTGTAGTGATAGGGTTTCTTCTAAAGGGTTTTTTTTGTAAATTATGAGTATGATACAATATATTCAAGTACGAGTACTCTGCTTCTGAACGTCTTGAATAGAGAGCGATAACGAAAACTACACTGGATACTACGAATACGGGCAGCATATGAATCAGGAGAGGTTTATGGCTCTGAAAGCTATAAGCATTTAGTCTCCTCTAAATACCACTCGTACCGTAGAGTTTCTCTTAACTCTACCAGCACTTGATTAAATTCTTCATTATCATACTATTTGTTTCATTCCTGTATTGTTAATTCAATTGATTCTACATCTCTCCTCTACTACTTCTGTTCTCTTATTCCATTATTTTATAAGAAGGCACATATCACAGAATTACAGATAATATTTAAGGTGATCAAAGAACAGAAAAATAGCCCTAAGACCATCAAATAACACCTATTTAACCTAACGTTGCATGCCAAGACTGCGTCCCCATTGCTCTTGAGCTGGTGGACGTTATAGACGGCCGGAACCATACACATCCGAGCTGGAAGGCTCCTTCCTGTAACCCCGTATTAGGTTTTGTGAAGAGGGGGACCGCACCTCCGTGTGTTTAGAGTTTGTGGAGCGGTCTCTCGATGGGTTGCTACATTTACCATAATCTACTACATCGTTATAATAGCCGAGGCGTATGTTTGTCAAAATAAATGCCGTTAGACGGCTAGCCTGAGGGGTAGTTCGAAGAGCTGTTGAATTTTCTGGTGAATAATCTTCAATTGGGGTCTATGATAATCCGGGTTCTAGTATAGTGCCCACCTCTAAACCGAATAACTGAAAGAGATTACTAGATGGACAGCACTCCGAGTGTGCCGTGCCCAGAAATGCAATCAAAACTACTGTTATTAGTATAGCGCATGCAAAAAAAAAATGGGGGGGAAGCCACCCTTCTCTGGGCTATTTTATTAGGTCGCCACAGACTGTCACTCGTCCAAGGGTAGCAGTTAGGGTTTATCACGCTGCTATGGGACGCGGCATAGTAGGGAAACTCACCTAAGCCCACCAGACGCCATTAACTGGACCACACGGGGAGAAACACACTTTAGATCTCAATGGAGACGTAAGAGCGGGGGGAGAGTTTGCACATGGCGTACTATCATACATAGGTGGAAAAGAAAACCCACTAGGGTCTTTAAGTACACAATTGGCCTCACTGTTGCAGATAAGAATTGGTGGGCCAGATTTGGCTCCTCGGCGATAACCTCCTCATACACATAGTCCTCCTCGTATGTTACCGAATCCTCATATTTGGGCCTTTTTTTTTTTTTTCCCCACCGAATAACCCTCTAGTTAGTATCAGCAGGCTAGCGATCTAAAAGCCGCTTGGTATCTATATTACAAGGAAACCCAAATCTCCAGCACGCTACAACATGAACTCTTATGTCAATATGCATGTGTCTGGCATCAAATTTTATAGTGCGAGATACTGTTTTTTTCTTTCGGTATTGTACCTTATAGCCGTGCTTTGCGATACTATGTCAGTTCAGAAGACGATAACCTACGGGATTATTCAAACATTCATGTCCCAGGAGTCACACGGCGAGGTACTACCTGCCGGGCGGAGGGGAATATGTGGCTTTGCAACGCCATACCAGAACATCGAATTGAATGCGCCGAGAAGAAAAGAAAGGCGAACAAGGAGACTTTGGGCAGAATATTCCTTCCCACTCTCTCGTAAGTCGATGTTGTACAGCATTGCGGGCCGTTCAATTACCCTTTGGATAGGGGAACACATAAACTGGAAAGGCGTACTATGTTTAGTGCCTATGCACTCGAGTAGGGATATCAAGCATTTGAGCCAAGCACTGCCAACCAAAAGAAGCATGGATTACAAAAGAAGGTGGTTGAACCCAGTTCTGAGGAGTGGGCCTCGTGGCGCGCCTAGGAGACCAGTTTGAGCGTGGGCAGGGTTGAGAGGTTATGCTAGAATAAGTTGAGTATTATACTACTCCCCAATACCATATGCCGCATAGGTTCTTTGGATCTGCGCCCATGCGAGAACACCTTAGATGCGTAATGAGTCCTTCAAGCCCATGCGGTACTGTAATCGTGGAATGGGGGTTGGCAGCACGGGCTTTGACTTCCTAATTGATTAATTTCCCCGATAAGCAAGATCCAAACTTTGTACAGCGCCCCAACTTCACCTTCGGCTCACCCCCTGAGGGAAGTAGCAGGTAAGCATGGCCTTTATTCAACCATGGCCATTGTGAAAACTAATCGCCACCATATCTTAGTTACCAATCAGCTATTACGTCGTGGTAAATGAGTGTCGGAATCACGGGAAGTTCTTATATTTTTGCCAATCTTTGTGCTTAAAGAGCTCCCACATTCACGCACCAAGTGAAAGGAAAGGGGTAAAAAGGAATCATGGAAAAATAGATGAAGAGCAAATGCGCAAAGAGGATTTACAACCAGAAAGCGGGGGAAAATAAATAAATATTGTAACGGAAATTCCAAGCCACACCAACTTATCCCAATCCAAGAGAAGTAGCCCCCCACCAACGCCAAGCTCCGGATATAAACAAAAATTGACAAATCCTGAGGCTACGTAAAGAATTCCGTGAGAAGTTCAGAGGGTACGTATAGGTATGCCTGTTCCGACCGCATATTATTTTCTTTGACCAAAAGAAAATATATCGACCGAGTGCCCGTGGCAGGATTGCACCGGGGGGAAAAGAAGGACGGCAATTACAAGGTGTGGCTTAGGACTGCGGGAGAATGCCGGGTGTGAAGAGAGAAGGAAGGCAATAACGGCGGGAATCTTGTTTATGGAGCCGTTGCGGTCCTTGCAGAAATGGCATGCGAGTTATCTGTATTCCAAGATAGTAAGGAGGGTGATGCCTCTCTAGCCTTAGGCCGTGCTGGGTGTGGCAGATGCTGGGGACTGCAATAGCGCCATCACTCCTACAAGACCACGCTCTTTAGCCCACCAAAATGGGGTTCGACCCAATTTGTCCGGGCGGTCGGGGTTGACGCCGTCATGTCCGAGTAGTATTTTCACTACTCCCTGGTACTCATTCCAAGCAGCACGATGGAGTGGTGTTTCGCCGTTGTTATCTGGTTTGTCGGGGTTGACTTTGTCCTGTCTGAGTAGTATTCTCACCACACCCCCGTACCCAGTATGAGCAGCACAATGAAGTGGTGTCCGGCCATCAATATCCGGCTGGTCGGGGTTGACGTCGCCCCGGCTGAGTAGT